TTAGTAAATCAGGTAGTTTTAAGGGGAGAATTTCAGATTTTGATAATTTTGTAAAAAGAATATATTTACTTTTTTTGACATTTAAAGAGAGTTTGTTAGCCTTAAACCATTCGTTCAGGTTTTCAAGTTCTTGATTAACAGTGTTAAATAATAGGCTAATGCTTATGTGGCTAAAGAATACTTGCGTATCATCAGCAAAAAGGACAAAATTAAATATGTTAAAAGATAAGTAGGATATTGTTAATATAAACGAGGAATAACAATGGACCGAGAATTGATTCTTGTGGGACCCCACACGTAATGTTTTCAAGTCGAGTTACAGTGTTGTTATATGATAAAGCTTGTTTCCGATTTTTAAGGTAAGAGCGAAAATTTTTAAATTGTTATTTCTTATTCCATAATTATACAGTTTATAGAGAAGAATTTTGTGGTCAACAGTTTCAAACGCTTTTGAGAGATCGAGAAATACCCCAAGAGTGTATTTATTATTGTCAAACCCTTTTAAAATTTCATTGACAAGTTTGGCTACAGCGTGTTCTGTTGAATGGTGTTTTTGAAAGCCATATTGGTTATTATTTAGCAGGTGGTGGTTTACTAAATAATTGATTAGCCTATTGTGCATTATTCGCTTTAATATTTTTGAAATGTATGGCAAAATAGAAATAGGCCTGTAGTTAGAAGCAATAGAATCATCTCCGCTTTTAAATATAGGAACAAGCTTTGCTAACTTTAGCTGGTCAGGGAACACCCCATTTTTTAAAGACAGATTACAGATATGCAGAAGAGGATATTCCATAATATCGTAGACATTTTTTACAACGTTTACGCTAATGTTATCAATTAGCAGTTTGGAGAGTTACTCGAGTTGGCTTATTTATTAAGGGTACTACGCCGTGCTGTAAGAGATTATTTAAAAAGCGTTTGACATTGTTATTAGTTTTTATTTTTAAAAGATCCAAGTTAGTATCTCCCATTATGTATAAGTGCTTATTTTTAGCCAGTTCTAGGTACTGAATTATATGTTTTTTAAAAAATTTTATATTGCCATCTGGTGGTCTATATAAGCCAGTTATATACGCGTTTGCTTTACTTTGGTTTGTTAATTCAACCGTGAAAAGTTCACAGTTTGCTTTCTACTTTTTTAAAGTGTATTGTATCATGTATGTAGAAACATATTCCTCCGCCAGTACCTCTACTACGAGTTTGATGGAGAGCTTTATATCCTTGTAATTGAAAATTTGAGTTTATGGTATTTTCGTCTTTGCACCATGCTTCTAAAAGACATTAGTAAAGTTTTTAAAAAAACGGCATTTTAAATTGGTTATTCTTTTTCTGTGTGTGTATATATATATATATATATATATATATATATATATATATATATATATATATATATATATATATATATATATATATATATATATAACAGATATCAAACAGATTCCAGAAAAACATGGCAATTATTAAATGAAATAATTGGAAAACCAAAAACTAGCAAACCATGCTTTCCTAAGACAATAAAAATCAATCACAAATCAATTGATAATAAAAACGACATTGCAAATGAGTTTAACAACTTCTTTGTTAATATAGGATCTAAACTTGCATCTCAAATTCCTCGTGTAAATAAATCTTTTGATAAATATTTAATTCGTAATAGAAATAAACTAAACAACGAAAAACTAACCATGTTAGAAATTGAAGAGGCTTTTAAAAGCCTTAAAAGAAACAAGGCTACTGGAATTGACGATGTCAATAGCAACATAGTAATTAACTGTTACAATGAGCTTAAAAATCCTTTATTCAAAATTTTTAAACACTCTTTAAAGAAAGGTATATTTCCTGAAAAACTAAAAACTGCTAAAGTAAATCATATACTTAAATCAGGAGATGCAAGTGAAATAGGTAATTTTAGACCAATATCAATACTTTCAACATTCTCTAAGATACTTGAGAGAATTATGCACAATAGGTTATATACTTTTTTTAATAAAAACAGTCTTATTTAATCCAAGCAGTTCAGCTTTCAAACAAATACATCAACTGACAACGCAATCCTTCACTTAGTTGAAGAAATAAAAAACTCCTTTACAAACGGAGAAGTTACTTTGGGGGTTTTTGTAGATCTCTTGAAGGCTTTTGATACAGTCTACCACAAAATATTATTACCAAAGCTTAATATGTACGGTATAAGGGGTAGATCCAACAAGTGGATAGAAAGCTATTTATATACGGAGACAATAAACTCTCTAATCCGTCTATAATAGAGTGTGGCGTACCTCAAGGTTCAACACTTGGGCCCTTGCTTTTCTTAATCTATGTAAACGATCTCTGTATGGCTTCAAAAAGAATTTCAACTATAATGTTTGCTGACGATAGCAACTTTTTTGTCTCTGGAAAATATAATAGCGAGCTGTGCGTAGAAATGAACAATGAATTAAAAAAGATTTCAGAGTGGTTTAGGGCAAACAAACTCTCTATTAACTCAAGTAAAACAAAGTTTTCTTTATTTCATCCTTCTTTTTAAAAAAAAGAAGTTCAATCTTTTTTTTAGAAATTGTTTATTGAAAATAGAGAAATAGGTAGGGATACTGTTACAAAATTTTTGGGTGTTTTTATTGACGAAAATCTAAATTGGAATAAACATATCGCTTATATAGGTAGTAAAATATCCAAAAGCATAGGAATAATATACCAGTCACGTTATCTATTAAAAAAACCACTACTCAAACAAATCTACTATAGTTTTGTTCAAAGTTACCTAAACTAAGGAAATATAGCTTGGGGTAGTACCTATAAAACGAAACTAGAACCACTTTATCGTAAACAGAAGCATGCTATATTGTGTAATTTTAAAAATAAAACAGAACACTCAAAACCTCTTTTTGAACAAATGTCTTTATTGACATTGTTTGAACTAAATGTATATAACGTTCTAAGTCTTATGTATAATAGCAAAATGCAATAAAGTCCTTCAATTGTCTATAGTCTTTATAAACAAAAACCAGAGTACAAATATTTATTGCGTACAAATAGTACCCTGTTAGAGCCTTCATGCAAAAATAAGCTTGAACAATTCAAAATGACTTATCGTGCACCTCATATCTGGAATAAGTTTTTACTAATTAATTTAAATAATATTGATTTAAAAAACTTAAATTGCTTTAAAAAAAACTATTAAAAAGAGTATTTTAATGTATAAAAAATTAGTTAGTGATTTTTTTTAAATTTATTTATAAATATTTTCTTTTTTATTTAATATAAACATATTTTCAACATTGCATTAGTAATAAATGTGTAAATATTATTCCGAAAAAAAAAAAAAAAAACGATTTTTGTAAAAATATATTTGTATACTTGTTATCTGACATTATAATACCATTATAATTTAATGATTTTATGTAAAAATTGTATGAATATGTTTTTATATTTACGGCAATGTAAAGCGGTTCTTGATGATAAGACCATTTGGTCTTCTGCAAGTTTTCCGCGTTCTTTTTACAGTGTTAGAGTGAATTTATTATTTTTGTAAAACCACTTTGTAATATTTTGCTTTTATTTATATATTCACTGTTAACGAATCTTTATTATGTGGTTACGAATTTGTAATATTAAGGAACAAAAAATAAACTTAAAATAAAATAAAATCAAAAATAATATATATATATATATATATATATATATATATATATATATATATATATATATATATATATATATATATATATATATATATATATATATATATATATATATATATATATATATGTTCAAGAATTATTCACTTGAACATATATATATATATATATATATATATATATATATATATATATATGTTCAAGTGAATAATTTTAAAAACTATGCATTTCATGCATGGCCAGAATAAAGACTTATCATGGCCAGATTTAAGATAATGGCTAGAAAGTATGTTATAAGATTGTATTAGTAAAAATACAAAAAAAAAAAAAAAAAAAAAAAGAACTATTGAACGTTATACAAAATAAGCAAAAAAGCATACACTTTTAAATTGCTACTAATATTATGATATAATACATATTTTAATAGTATTATATCATAATATTATTGACGAGTCAATAAGCACTTTAATCTGCATAAATATAAATTATAAAGTTTAAATATTGTATTTTTACTTTAAACCAAACAATACAACCCTTAAAGATTAAAGATTTTTTTGAAATCGCCCAGAATAAGGACGCAGCCAAATATAGGTAGGTTTATCCTAAATAACTAGCTATGTAGGTTGAACGGAGTACCATAATCGCGTCAAAAAAAATATCGAAAAAATAATAAAAAGCGTTTTTTTTATAATTGTCAAGTCCAGATATAAAAAAATAAATTAGTATAAAAACAAGTATCAAATATTGTAACTTAATAGGCTAAATAATCTTTTTTAATGTGCTAGAACCCAAAAAAATTTAAAACAGTATATGTACTTGTCAAAAAGTGTAAATAAAATGAACTATAGAGAAAACAACTTGAAAAATCTTCTTTTTTAGTAAAGTTTAAAGAATAATCTCAACAGATCAACATTTCTTTAAAATTTTTGCCAGTGAAATATAACTGGCAATTAGGTTCTAAACTTGTCATACGGAAAAAGTCACGTGTATGAATTTTCTAAGTTCTTTGTTTTGGTTATTTATTTTAATACGCAATACGTTTATTCGTAATACGCAATTACGCAACTCGTACGTAATACGTATACTTAGCAAACGAATTAAAAACTACGGAACGTTCTGGAAAGTTTAAGTGCAGTAAAGCAATAAGGAATTTATTCCCTAAAACTTTTAAATATTTCTAGATTTAAAATTAAAAAAAAATTTATATAAAATAATCATTTTAAAAACCATACTTTTATACGCTCTTATAGTGCTTATTTATTTTTAAAATAACTGTTTTAAAATTATTAAAAACAAAAATTTACCCCCGTCGAATTTTACTTAATAATAATATAACTACTTCTCTGGATAGTTCATTGCTTTTTATTCACCCTAAGTCTGCACTCAAAGCAACTAAGATACGCCAGTAGTATAAATTATGTCTAAAGCGCCCGCTATTGGAATAGATCTTGGAACTACATACTCATGTGTAGGTGTTTTCCAACATGGTAAAGTAGAAATTATTGCCAATGATCAAGGTAATCGTACTACACCCAGTTATGTTGCCTTTACTGATACTGAAAGACTTATTGGTGATGCCGCCAAAAACCAAACAGCAATCAATCCTTCTAACACAGTATTTGGTTAGTTGATATAATTGTATACAATTTTACAAGTATTACGCTACGTGTACTTGTACTAATATGATAAAAAGTGACTAAAATTCATTCTCATTTATTGACTTTTTTATGTTTGTAGTTTTGTAATTTCTATATGTGAGTTTTACTTGCTTAGACGCAAAACGACTTATTGGAAGAAAGTTCAATGATGCCTCAGTAACTTCAGATAGAAAGCATTGGCCATTTAATGTAAGTTGATTTTTTACTAAATGTTTATTATTGTTGTTAACATTTTTTTTCTTCTCTAAATCACCTAAGTCGTTTTTTTTTAATATTTGAAAAAATTTTTATTACTAATTATAAAAATTTATCTTTATTTTATTTTAAACATAAACCAAAGTCAAGGTTCTTATTTATAGATTAAAATATTTATTGTGTAGTATGTTTTGCAATTTTCTCAACTTAAAAAACTTGTTTAGTATATATAAATGTAAGTTCTTTGGATAATAGCATATCATATCATAATTTGTTAAGAAAACACAATTTGGCCTGATAAATTTTAAGTAAAAAGTTTATCTCAAAATAAAAATTATTTTATATTTCTCTTTAAAGGTATAATTACTAATTTTGAAAATACTTAAGTAGGTCATTTAAAGCCACATGTTAAATAGCTATTATAAAGTGATTGTATTAAAAAATATATATATTCAGTTATCAAAAAAGTCAAGTAGGATTAAAAAAATAAAGTCAAATAGGACATTTTTTATTAAAAATAATTTATGATGAACCCAACTTAATTTCATATGTGTTACAGATTTTGCATTAGTGTCAATTATTTGCAAAAACTAAGTTATTTAAAAAAAAAAATTTTTTCAGGTTATTGACGAGGGAGGTCGACCAAAAATTCAAGTAGAGTTCAAAGGTGAAACCAAATCTTTTTTTCCTGAGGAGATTTCATCAATGGTTTTGTTAAAGATGAAAGAAGTTGCTGATGCTTACCTTGGCAAAAAAGTAACAGATGTTGTCATCACTGTACCTGCATACTTCAATGATTCTCAACGTCAAGCTACTAAAGATGCTGGTGTTATTGCTGGCTTGAATGTTCTTCGAATTATCAATGAGCCCACTGCTGCTGCCATTGCATACGGTCTAGATAAAAAAGTTGGAGCTGAAAAAAATGTTCTTATATTTGATTTAGGAGGTGGTACTTTTGATGTGTCCATTCTTGCTATTGAAGATGGTATATTTGAAGTAAAATCTACCGCAGGTGACACTCATCTTGGTGGGGAAGATTTTGACAACCGTCTAGTCAACCACTTTGTCGATGAGTTTAAAAGAAAACACAAAAAAGACATTTCAGGTAACAAGCGTGCACTCAGACGTTTAAGAACAGCTTGCGAACGTGCCAAGCGAACACTGTCTGCAAGCACTCAAGCAAGTGTTGAAATTGATTCTCTATTTGACGGAATAGACTTTTATACATCGATTACAAGAGCTCGTTTTGAAGAATTGTGTATCGACATGTTTAGAGGCACTCTTGGTCCAGTTGCTGATGCAATCAGAGATGCTGGAAAAAATAGCAACGGACAAAGTTTTTCAAAATCTGACATCCATGAAGTTGTTTTAGTTGGTGGATCTACTCGTATTCCCAAAGTTCAAAGTTTGCTCCAAGATTTCTTTAACGGAAAAGAGCTGAACAAGTCTATTAATCCTGATGAGGCTGTTGCATATGGTGCAGCTGTCCAGGCTGCTATTTTAAGTGGAGATAAGCATGAAGCAGTTCAAGATTTACTTCTTTTAGATGTTGCTCCATTGTCATTAGGTATCGAAACTGCTGGTGGTGTTTTTACTGCTCTAATAAAGCGAAACACAACAGTACCTACAAAGTACTCTCAGACATTTACTACATATTCAGACAATCAACCTGGTGTTTTGATTCAGGTTTTTGAAGGAGAGAGACAAATGACTCAGCACAATAACTTGCTTGGTAAATTTGAACTTTCTGGAATTCCTCCAGCTCCAAGAGGTGTTCCTCAAATTGAGGTCACCTTTGATGTCGATGCCAACGGTATTTTGAATGTGTCAGCATTAGACAAAAGCACTGGAAAGGAGAACAAAATCACTATTACAAACGATAAGGGTCGTCTCTCTAAAGAGGATATCGAGAGAATGGTCCAAGAAGCAGAGAAGTATAAAGCTGAAGATGAAGCTCAGCGAGACAAGGTGCAAGCTAAGAATGCTTTGGAAAGCTATTGTTATAACATGAAGCAAACTGTCGAGGATGACAAAGTCAAGGATAAGATCAGTGAAGAAGACAAAAAAACTATTTTGCAAAAGTGCAATGAAACAGTCGAATGGGTGGATCGCAATCATGTAAGTTTGTAATTTTATTTCAATTATGTTTCTGTTTTATGTATTTATTATTGTTTTTTTTTTAATTTGTTCTTGCATTTCTTGATTAATTTTTAAATTGTTATAGTCTGCTGAAAAAGAGGAGTTTGAACACAAGCAAAAAGAACTTGAGAAGGTATGCGCACCAATCATTACCAAGTTATATCAAGCAGGTGGTGCTCCAGGAGGCGGTATGCCCGGTGGTTTTCCTGGAGGTATGCCTGGTGGTTTTCCAGGTGGTGGTGCAGCACCACACACTGGTGGTAGTTCAGGTGGACCAACAATTGAAGAAGTTGATTAATTTTATTTTTCTTTGGATATTGTCGCTTGTTTGTACCGGTACTGTGTTATCTTATTAAAGCTTTTTGTAAATTGTTGTTTAAGATATCTTTTGTTACATTCTTTTAAGCGGACGCTTCTGTTTAAGTTAAGTTCAAATTTTCTTGAGTTTTAAAAAGTTAAGAATTTTATAAAAAAGTTAATTAAAAAAAAAAATAATCCCAAACCATTTAAATTCTAGAAGTAAAATGTGTTATGATATTAATTTTAAAAATCGCGTTTTTCTTTACTAATTCAAATCAAATATCTACCGAATAGGGCGCTGGTAAAATGCGGTAATTTATGACCGGAAATTAGCCATGACCAAATCTGATAAAGATTATCAAGTTTTTACAATTCTGTTAGTTAAGTACAATGTATATAAGTCTGATTTTGATGAAGTGGTATGAACAGGTAATAATAACTGCCTTATTTTAAACTGCTGAAGAGAGTTTTTCTTGCCGCTTCATACCGCCTCATCGACATATCCCTGGATATGTATTTAATTATTTCCGCTTTAGCACGCATAATTTCTGCACCTAACGGGTTGTCCTCATTTTATCAGCGCTCTACAGAGTTAGTACGAGCATATTGCAAAAGACAATGCATTACACTTAACTTATTTAACTTATTTAATCACTGTAATTACACTAAGTAATTTTGTAAACGAAATAAAGTCGTGATACATAATTAATAAAAAAAATCAATTGTTAAATTGTGTGCATTGCGGAGCATTAAATTTTATTTTTGACACTTACATCTTGACATTAACAAACTTAGTTACCTAAGGTAATAAAGGAGAAAATAAAATTAAAACAAACTGGGAAGGAGTACTTATTAACCGGGGCGAATGTGTGCGGCTGCGCCCAGCCCCTAAAAAAGGAGTCCCAACGTACCCCTGCTTGGAATGACTCAGAAGAAATAGACAACTTCAGTAATAGAAACTTAAAACACTTAGAAAAATTAAGGAAATCAAGGCAGAAGAAATGTTTAAAGCATTTAATTGACATCTCATATATATGGCAGTTTGTAAGTGGTGCAGGATAGAACAAGAAGTTACAATCAAAAACCTGAGTGGGCAACAAAAGTCATTTCTGTTAAATTGTACATGCAAGTTTCAATCATATTGAAACTTGCATGTGGCCTTGAGACTCTAGAATCAATTATTCTGGATAAAAATTTTAAAACTTCAGACACGAAGCCACTACAACTGTAAAGAAATTAAAAACACTTAATGTAGCTTTTATGACGGAGCTTTGACACAGAATCGTGTTACAATTTGATATTACTAGTATCAAACTTCAGGATAGAAGTGCAGATTGCTTTTGGAATGTAACATGAGTTTCCAATTTTATGATAAAGTTTTCCAAGTTCATGTTCGCAATTCGTAGGAATAAATTAGTATGAGTTTTTCCAAAGCTGACATTGTAGGATATTGCATGTGGGATTTTTTAAACCCTTGCTATTACCAATTGTAGTGCTGAAAGAGAATTTTCACAAGTGGCAAGTTTTAAGAATTATCTCCGTTCCTTTATGTTAAATGGTCGTTTTAATGCTCTTTGTTCAATGACTATTGAAAAAATTCTTTTATCAAATATAAATTTTTAAATGGTTGTAATCGACTGTGCCAATGTGAAATAATTCTCTGTGAATAAACAAATACTATTGCGTACTAAGGTAAGCAATCTGATGTCATAATGAAATAGCCTGCTGCTAGGGGCTTCAGTACACACATCGACTGACAAATACCCTGACTCGCAGTGGAGTGCTGCTACATCGACTGAGGGTTTGGGATGGGAAAGCAATTGTTTTATCATTTTTCGTTTTATCTTCTTTTTCGAAAAAAAACGGTATAGCTTAAGATAAGCAGAAAAAGTGAGCAAATGCTTATCAAAACACGCTTTAGTAAGTGTATATAAAAGTAGTTTCATGTTTTGCTGCATTCGTTTTTTTTATATTTTTTTGAGAATAGGGCCCTCAAATATTTTTTGCATATATATATATATATATATATATATATATATATATATATATATATATATATATATATATATATATATATATATATATATATATATATATATATATATATGATATATATATATATGAAATATAAACATTTTATAAATACTAGAAATAGTACATTTATATTTCTGTTTATATTTTATGTGGAGGTGTCCGTGATAAAAATCTTTTATTAATAGCGGAAAGGTATATTTTGGCAAAAATACCCTGATGTAGATTCAGAGTAACCGTAGCACTGTGTTTAGCACATTTGCCTCAGGAGTTAGAGATCCGTGGTTCAACGCCACCTCGGCAAAGTTTTATATCACCGGTTGTGAAGGAGGCGTAAACTTCCTTTCAAATGTAAATTAAGAATTTAGTTATTTTCAATAAAAAGCTTTTATTATGACTTTACTTAAGCTGGAAGTATCATAAGACCATAAGTAAAGTCCTTTAATACTATCAGTCTTTTTATGCCAAAATAATAAACTATTTATTATTAAAACCTATGATGTAATTTTATGGAATATATATACTCCACAAGGTAACATAGTAATAATCATACGAAAGAAAACATAATAAAAGTCACACAAATCACACAAGTACACTTTAAATATTGCAATTTAACTATTTTTTAATAATTGCTCATAAACTAGTTATCTTTATATTAGGATATAATAGGATATAGGATTTGTTTAGTTGATTTATTATATCCTATAGGATATATTATATCCTATTGGATATAATATATCCTAAAAAATTATCATGCGTCGGATTGAAATATATTTTACAGTGATTGAGGCAAATTGATAACTGTAAAATATATTCGCCACACCAATTATGTATATTACAGAAAAAAGTGCAAAGCATACTATATAAAAATAATACACAATTATAACAAATTATTTTGCATTTAGGACAAAGAACAAACACTTCATCAAATGGAAGAACAACAATCGATCCATTTAATACAATTCTTTTTCCACCAAACGAAAACTTCAGACACAGCAGGAAATTTAAACGATGGATTAGTAATGAAAAGGTAAGAATGTTGTTAGTATTAAACGTCAAAATAATAACAAACATATCCGACCATGTACTGACAAATGAAAAAAAAGACTGAAGTTTATATCTTATGCACAAGCGGTAAAAAAAGCAGTTTAAGAAACAAGTGTTGAAAAGTTTAAAATAAAAACTACTACTGAAGACATTCTTCCGAGATAAAAGACAACAAAAAAGATTTATAGTTTACAAGATATAATAAACTGAACACCTCCAACATCAACCTCCATCAACAGAGAACGAAAAGATTAAGATTTCTAAAAAAGAGAAATGTGGAACAGAGAAATACAAACTAAACGTAACTTTTTAAAACAAGAGGTACAGTGGGCACTAAAAAATCGACACGTAATTAATAAAAAGACAAATAAAAGGAAGTTTCTGTATAATGATCAAAGCAACATAAAAAAAATTAAATGAACTGTTAAATGACAGATCAGTGTACAGACAGCTCCTGGGACACCACACAAATATGTGAGAGGAATTACTGAAATGCCAACTTCATGCAAAAACTGCATACAATCAACAAACACACAGCTAGTTTTTTTCTCTTTAACGATTTCATCAGACCCTCACTATTCTATCAACTTTACATTATTATAAACCCGATATTCTACTCCGATCAGTCTTTAGCGCATGCAGCGGACTGATGGACAATATATTTATATATATATATATATATGGACAATATATTTTCCTCTATTTTTAAAACTTAATAAAACAAACCTAATAAAACAGAAAGAAACATTAGTATAAAAAAATCATAAGAAAACGCATTTATAATGAGGCTAATATTAAATTATTTAAAAAACAAATATCATTACGGCATTGGAAAAACATAAATTTTGATGATAACGCAAATAATATTTATGAAACTTTTTTCAAAACATTTTTTTCTGTTTATGAAATTAATTTCCCAATTATAGAAAAACATTAACAACTAAGAATATCAATACACCTAAAGGTTTTGAATATTACTATAGGTTTTAAAAAGTTATACATAAGTTTTAAAAAAAACAGCTTCAAGCGAAAAAATCTATAAGAACTACAAAAACCTATTTGAAAAAATTTGCAAAAACTTATAGAAAAATTATTACTCCCAATTGTTCAATACATTTAAAAACGACACAAAGCACACGTGGCAAATAATGAAAGAAATTATTGGCAAAAAAAAATCATGCTCCAGTTTTCTTCCACAAATGGCTAGAGTCGATAACATAAGTTTATATGAACCAAAAACTATAGCTCAAGAATTTAACAAATATTTCTCTCATATAGGACCAACACTGTCTGAAAAAATCCCAAGGACCAAATCTTTGTTTACTGATTATCTAGAACCCCTGGATAATTGCATTTGTTCAGATGAGTTATCTTCCGAATTAATGTTTGATGAATTTGAAAGAGCCTTTAAATCTGTTAAAAAAATAAGGAGCGGTCTACTTTTTTTATTGTTTATATACACCTTTATGTTTATAGAGGTTTATTCATACTTATTTTATTTATTGTTCTTATACTTTTTACTTTTATATGTTGGTTTACTCTTGTATAAAAATCTGATGAGAAGATCCACTTGTTCTTTCTTCAGACACAGGTTGTTTACTTTGCAATTTTGTAAAAGTTTGTTAATTTTTTTTTAATCTTATCTTTGTTAAATGTTTTTTTAAGGTTCTGACGACAAGATCCTTGCGACCATCTTTCAGATACCTTGTTTATGTTTGTTATGTTTTACGTCATTGTAAAATTATATTATTATTTTTATTATGGGTTATTTAAAGCTGTACAACGATTAACAAATGTAAACCAAAAAAAACAAAAAAACAAACACTTACATTCCACACAAAGAAAGCAAAAACACAATGTTACATTATATGAGACTTATACCTAGAATAAAATATAAGCTAAATTATTCAAATGCTTTTCAGTCAAAATTGGCAGCCATCACTTGCAATTTAATAAAAGGAGTTCTACATTAGAGCATTTTCTTTTTTAGTAACAAACCCTACCACCAACTAACGGATACATCAATGGGTATACGAATTGCACAATACAATACAAACTTATAAATATATGACATGACGAACAAATCACTAATTAATTTCTAAACCACACAACTTATTACAAAAGATTCATCGATAATGTTTTCCTTTAATTTAACTACAACTACATAAATTCAATTCCATCAGTCAAATTCACTTTAAATCACACAGTAATAACAATTAACCTTTTAGACATTCTATTATATAAAAATAAACAAGACAACATTTACATGCTATCTACAAAAAAATAAATGACACGACAGGACTACTGTATTATGGCTCGTATTATCTCACGCACACCATACAGGTACCATAGACAGATAAGCCCTCAGATACTATACCATCGTTACAGAGTTTAACAATTTATAAGAACATCGTGGCATTATTCTCAAAAACTGCAACAAAATTAATTCGACTTATAACTTTGTAGTTTTTTTCCGCATAAACCATTATTAGTACATAAAAATCTGAAATCAATTAAAGACAAGATAACTAGACACCAACGCTAATATCTCTATCGCGCCTCCCGATGCGATCCGAACATTGGCTTTTTTCTAGCAAAATAGTGCTTACAGGGTGTCAACCATAGCGCCTGACCATCAAAACACTCTAATGATAAGATATAATTTAGATCAGAATGTAATCTTGACACTTCATCGATAATTGTTTAAAAACATCACTCTGTTTGTGACCGCGCTGTGTGCTTGTTAATCTACGATTATTAATTTAATTATATATTTATGTATATAAAATCAATATAATCGATTAAAACAATTAATAATATATTATGAAAAAAAGTTGTTTTAAGAGTATTTACAAATACTAATAAACTAATCTTAAGTAAACATACTAATCTTCTTATACAATTCTCGGAATTAGAAAAATAAAGTCAGCAATAATTTGCCTACCTCAATCTTTTAGAGGTCGGCATCAGGTCGGCAAAAAAGTTTTATACAAAGGTTTTATACAAAGGTTTTATACCATAAGATATAGAAATGAGGTCCGCAATTTTTTGCGGATTTTTCCAAAATCAAAACAATAACAATGAATAAAAACTTCAATTCGAATCATAAATGACAAAACATACAAAAAAAAAAGATTGACACTAGGTACTAATTTTCTATATTATACAAATATCAAACTAGTTGTACAACTATTCAACGGAAAAACACAACAGATAACGCAAATAAATAAAGTAACAAGCAATGCAAAAATCACAAAACACAAGAATAATACAATTTTCTTTTTTTTCTTTCTTTTATGTTCTTCTTTTTTTCGAATTTACTTTTTTAATCAACTTTATACCTCTCCTTGTTTTTTCTTTTCGCTTTTTAGTTTTTATTATTTTTAATTTTATTTCTTTTTTTTACTTTTAATTCATTTCATTTTATATACATACATACATACATACACACACACGTACATACGTACATACGTACAAACATACACACATACATACATACATACATACATACATACATACATACATACATACATACATACATACATACATACATACATACATACATACATACATACATACATATATATATATATATATATATATATATATATATATATATATATATATATATATATATATATATATATATATATATATATATATATATATATATATATATATATATATATATATATATATATATATATATATATATATAAAGTTAAGCAATTCACTGCATCCCAGTACTGGGTTACAACCTGGGGCGCAGTGAATTAATGAACACATCTGTGAATTAATGGTAGTGAATAGAGGCATAGCCAAATAATTTTGAGGATGAGGGATTAAAGGCTGAGCACAAGATTTTTGACATACTTTTGGTAATTAGATCGTATAAAATCGAAAAAGTAGCCAAAATTGAGAAGAAAAAAAAGAATTTTATTGATAAGAAAACTTATTTAATCATCTGAAATAACAGCAATATATTTTAAGAAAACAAATTAACAGAGTGAGTGCATCATAAGCTGTTAAGTCCACCGGAAAGATAAAATGACGAAGAACTCTAGCAGTCTCTCTCGAAGAACTCCTCGCAGTCTCTCCGCATAGAAGTGGTGTGAGTAACTTTCCTAATCTTTTTTCGTTGAAAAAACGTTATCTTAAAATTTTTTTTACCCTTATTCACTGTGCTTAGTGCTAATAATTTTACCAACATTAATTACTAAAATTTATTTAGCACTAGGTTTTATTAAAACGTATTCATTGAGAATCTATTTGTTTTGGTTTTAAAACAAGTTTTCACTTGTAAAACCAATGATGCCATCCATTTCACTATCTGTTATGTCACAACTCAAGAAAGTTGCATCTCCTGCCTTATTAGGTGGATTAACACAAGATATCTTTTTGCAAGCTTTTTTAGCTGCATTTTTTAGTTGCAACTAATTTTTTGCAATTCTGCTTAGTTTTATTTTTTTTTTTATAAACTTATATCTGTTTGGTGAAGTCCTTTTTTTACAGGAATATCTGTTAAAATTGATGTTTTTAATCTAATTTCTTCTACATCTTTTCTTGGTGGTGCTTATGGAAAGGAGGTAATTTCTTCAGGAGACAACCTGATGTTGAAGGTTGTGGCATGATTTTTTTATTAAAAGTTCAACATTATGATGTGAGGGTTGGAATTATGCAAGGAATTTTTACAGGGTTATTAATTCTTATATGCGAGTCTATTCATTTTTATATGCGCATTTATTCATTTTTATATGCGCATTTATTCATTTTTATATGCGCATTTATTCATTTTTATATGCGCATTTATTCATTCTTATATGCGTTTTAAAAAAGCAATTTGAACAAATAAAATCATTTTACAAGTAAGCAATTTGTTTTTCAAAACAAATTTTTCTTATTTCCTGGTAAACGAGGTTAAAAATACTTTATTTAATTTAGTATTAGGTCTTTGTTTAATTTTATTATTAAATTTATTGATTGATTAAATTATTATTTATCTAAATACTCATTTATCGAGATTTAAATTTAATTGTTTATAATTATTAAATAACTTTAGCACTGGCTCGGCAACCATTTTTAAAAAAAATTGCAGTGACAACAACCTAATTTATATTTTAAGTATATCTATCTATAAACATTAAAAAATTAATGCCAATTTATTGTTTATATAAAATTATATTAGAGATTTTATGGGTGGTTGACTCGCATATAAACGCACATATAAGAATGAATAAAAGCGCATATAAGAATGAATAAAGACGCGTATAAAAATGAATAGACGCGCATATAAGAATGAATAACCCTGTAAATCTAGCGGAATGGTTTAAGGCAAACAAATTGTCCTTAAATTTAAATAAAACTAAGTATACTTTTCTTCATAGACTTCAAGATAAAGTAAATATTCCATTATTCCATTAATTTCCTGATCTTTATATTGACAATTCTAAAATAATTAGAGAGTCATCATTAAAGTTTTTAGGAGCGATACTTTACAAAAACTTGACATGGAGAAAACACAACGATAGAAGATAAAATATTGTCATACAATACAAAGCAATTATTAAACCAAAACTGCTTAAAAATTTTATACTTCTTGTTCATACATTGTTATATAAACTATGAAAATATTGAATGGTGCAGCTCTAATGTAAATAAAATTATAAAATTGCTTAGTTGACAAAAACACGCTGTCAGAATTATTTCAAATGCAGGTCGATTCACTTATTCTAAAGAACTATTTAAAAATCATCACATACTCAATTTTTTCAGTTAAACCTTTATCAAATTCTTATATTTATGTACAAACTTTATGATAAAGTAACTCCTATAATATTTAATACACTTTTCAATAAAATTAATCACGTATACCCTACAAGATTTTCAAATTACAATTATGAACAATCTAAAATGCACTATTTGGTTACTAAATTTTCTATTACCATCAGAGGTCCTAAATTATGTAACACTTTATTAAATAACGAGTTGAAAAATTATTCTTCACTTTCTCTATTCAAACAAAAACTCAAACAAAAGTTTGGGGTGTTGATGAATTAATGTTTACTTTTTTTAATTTTTAACAACTATCTTATTATCTTGTCGCTAATTTAAATTTTCTTTAAATTATCCTATTAACTTATCTTCAGTTTTTTAAGAGTGATTACTTTTTATTTTATTTTTACGATTTTCTTTTGATTATAGATTAGTAACTGATCTCAACATACTTGTAAATATTTGTATATAATTTTTAAATGGTACAAATTAATTGTATGTTTACCTTTTAATGGTTGTACACGCTTGCTGATGAAAGCCTGTCAGGGCGTAGTGATAAGAAAAATATTGTTTCTTTTAGCCCCGGTCATGTATATTTTAATTATAATATAATTAAAATATACATGACCGGATTAGGATTTCAGGATTTTAATGTACAGGTATTTAATCAAGTGATTTTAAGCGATGAAGACTTTCTTCGGTCTTATGCCATCCGTAAGAACAATATATAAATTATATAACTCGGCATTGTTTTCTTTTTTAATGACAAAATAAATAAAAAATAAAAAAAAATTAATGTAGCCTTTAAATTTTGAACTTTGAAATCAACATTGGATTGTTCTTACGGATGATCGGTAGCATAAGATCGAAGAAAGTCTTCATCGCATAAAATCACTGGATTAAGTACAGTACATTGAAATCCTAACACTATATTTTTAGGCGTAAATGCGTAAATGCAAAACCTTTTTTTCTTTGCTATATCAATTGTCTTAATTGAAAGTTGTGTCATCATTGTCCAAAATCAATATGACCGGTTGCTCATTTGAACTTTTTGTTGATGTAATAATTAAAAACTTACTTAACATTTAGAGAAAGACTAAACAAAAATTTTAAAACATTATGCTAGTTAGTTAA